GGAAAGAGAGAAACCCCAGTGATTCTAGGTAACCCAGGTCTCGGGCATTCTTGTCACCCTCTGATGTGTGGGGTAGAAGGGTACACTGGGCTTTTTGTTTGTGCATGGCTGAGCACGGTGCCAGCTGCTGTCTAATTTCATTGAGGTCACATTGGGGCTTAGGGTGTCACCCAGTCTCTGTTCTGCAGGTATCCAGGGGCTGCGGGAGAGGTCCACAGCCTTTTCCTGCTCAGTAAATGGGGGCACGCTCCTCTATGGAGTGGGCTTTTAACATCCCCCCCCTCCCTTATTCCTATTCTGCAGCCAACCTGCCCCACACACCTGGTCCTCTGGATCGGCACTTCCTGAGAGCTGCTACACTGATCCACTCCGACTTCAGCCAGCTTCCGACTGCTTCAGAAGTGATCATTAGGTAAGGGGTGCTTAGAACTCCCTCCTCTTCCAGGTGCAGGGGTGCTGTGTGGCACACAGAATAGGCAGAAGGGGGGAACTCCTTTTCTAAGGCTGGCTGAGGTTTGGCATGCATTGTAATCGCACCGGTGTCTCTTGCCAAGGGTCAGTCGTGTCACCTTATTCCCTGAAGTTTGCTTTTTAGGTGTGGGCTACTTAATATTCTGCCTGTAGTGTGATCTGGATGTTGAGAGGCTAGAATGGCAGCAAGGTGAGTGAACTGAAGGCACAGCTGAGTTGTGCCACGGGGTTGGATTAAGATATAATGCTAGAATATTGCTAGTTCCTGGCACCATAAGGTTCTAAGATGCAGTTTTAAATATAGCTGTTCCTAATAAATTTGTGTCTCGGCAGGGAGCCAAAGGCGCCCAGAATTGGCAACCTAGATTTTGTTTTCTTGCACGGCTTGTTGGGTTGGAAACACACTGTAATGTGCGTGGCAAACTCAATTGTACTGCGCCAGGCAAGATGGTCTTATCACAGCCGGAGCCCTTCGGCACAGCCGCGGCTACAGCTGATCTTGTGTGCTACAGCACTCCCCCCGTTCCTGTAGCTGATCTCGGGGAGGGTGGTTATGTTGTGAGTACGCAGAGATTCTACTTGCCTGGCCGTGCTTGTTTGTCCAAAACATGATGAAATAAAGATGCTTCTGGGAATTATACTGTTTCACTTCCCTGACACAGCTTGCCAAGGGAATGTGAATCATACACTTCGATGCTGGAGGAAGTCCTTGTTTAGCATTAGTTTGACTGGCTCCTTAAATCCTATACTGGCTAAGCTGGCGTATTCTGTGTTGCCCCAAAAAAAGCAACTCCATGTGTGAATCAGACTGAGTAACAAGATGACTAAAACTGCTTTCTTTTATGGAGCGTTGTCACAGAAGGGTGTCAGCAAACATGTTAGTTGCTGCTTTCCTCTGTCAAGGAGCAGTACAGGGTCCTTTGCTTTGCTCCCTGCCAGCCCTCTTGCAGGTAAATATTGAGTGGTGGTTTTTAATCAACGAATTGAGCTTTCATGGCTACAGTTTCCCATTATTGTCTGAGCTTCATCATATGTGTGACTGAACAACCTCGTATGGTTCCTGCTGCAAGGGTGCTGTGCTGGGATTTGCTTATGGACAGCAGCAGTGAGATGGGTTCCTCCAGGGACGAAGGGAGTGTTAGACGTGAGAAGTGTTTAACTACCGGCTTTTGATGTGCTGGGCTGGTCTGCCAGCAAGGGCAATTCTCAGAGGATGGCCAGATGCATGGGTGTTGGTGCTGCTGAATAGGTTCCAGAGGGTGTGACATATAACACTTTCTCTTTCAGGATGTCAGGACCCTTGAGAAGGAGGGTCTGGTTCCCTGTGGCCTTCCGGTAATACACTGCAGGGTTTTGGTGCCCATTTTAGCTCTGTGTTCCTTTGCTCTGCTGTGAAAGACCTAAAAGTCCTCAATAGCTGGGAGTCCAGTGCTGCAGGCATGCCAATGCCCAGCCCAGTGAGTTGAACTCGATCTTGCACAAAGCTGTAAAACCTGACCACTGCCTTTTCTCCTGCCCTGCTAGGAACGCCTCCACGGCCGTGTACGCCTGCCGAAACCCCGTCCAGGAAACCTACTTCCAGCAGCTGGGTACTCCGCTCCGCAACTCGGGTGTTCCCAACCCTCACGACAGTGCGTTCAGCTTGCCAAGCAAGGCAAAGCAAAAGCTGCTGAAGCATGGAGTGAACCTGCTTTGAACTGATGTGCTGAGGCAACATGTCTCAGCCCGTGCTGAAAGTTAGTTCATCTCCGATAAGTAAAATCTCAAAGCCATTTATTCCGTAGGAGGCACGAGGCTCTGTGCTGTGTCTACGGAGTCTCCAGCCTGCCTTGCCCTGAGGAAGGGGCACCCGTATCTCCCTGTTCCTGCAGCACTTTTTGTGCTAGTGCAGGGTGTTGACATGAGCACTTACCAAAGACTGAAGATAGAAAATAGCTATGTTGGGGTACTTGGTTTACATTGACTCTAGGACTATTTGTGGTGCTCTGCCACCACAGACAGAGAGCCCTGGAGTGCCTTACCCTAAAGTAAAACCTCTTCTTGCTCTAAGCTACACAGGCACCGGGCTTTCAGAGATGTCAGTCAGACACTGCATCTGCCTGGAGTTCTGTGCCTACATTTGCCCTGGTCAGACTTGGGCTTTATTTATATCTCTTAATCTATAGAAATTAGCCCCTGCCACGACGTAACACCTTGTCTTGATTAATGGAGCGGCATGTTCTCAGACTAACTGGAATAGAACGAGTGCTGCAAAACTCATAATCCTCCTACAGGTGCTGTCAGGAGGTTTTTGTACAGTAGCTGAATCTGGGAGATCCTTGTCCCTCCACTCCTGCCAGGTCGGTGATTGTGCAGCTCAGCGCTGTCTTCCCCACTGCCCGCCAACGCAGCTGTAACCTGCCGGCCTCTCTCAGGGGGCCGTGGTGATGGTATGAATGCACTACACCTCCTGCCTGCTCCTCGGCCTTCTCCTTCCTCCCCTCCCTCCTGATGAAGGATTTTGTTTCACCTCCTTGCTCTTGCTGCTCAATTTGTCTACACTCTGTTGACAGAAAAGGCAAGTGGGAGCCCCTTAAGCTAACGGGACCAAAGAGGTTTTGTAGCTCCTTGGCAACTGTTCTCTTTCTTTGTGCTCAGACGGTGTGTCCCCTGTCAGCGGCTGGCTGGGGGGTTTGGTGGTGACGGCTGCGTAGATGCGAGTGATGGATACCTGCCTCTGACTGGGCTATGTGTTTCAAAGCCTGCTGCTGTTACACGCACACATCACTGTGACTGTGAAAATAAAAGAGAGTCTCCAAGACTCACCCAAGCACTATGTGTCAGCGGCCAAAGTCCCACTTACTGCTTGGTCATCATGTTTGTGGTTCCTGGTGTGAGGGTTTGGGGTTGGGTGACCCGTTGTCCCTAGTTAGCTCCATGCTGAGGGTGAGTTCCTGCACTTGTGGGGTTGGTAATACAGGCAGTGCCTGTTGCTTCGATCACTCCTGCAAAGTAGCTACTTGTCAGGGTCTTAGAAGATTGCTAAAGGTAGATGTGTTACTGGTTTGACCGTGAAATGGTGAGCAGACTTGTGTCGGTGTTGGCAGGGCACCGCCAGGAGCTGGACAGAGTAGAATCACCATCGTCACAGCTTCTTGTTCCACTCTCACAGCAGACAGTTCCCAAGGTAGCTCTGCTGTTGCAGGGCTCCTCTGCAGACCTTGGCTGGGAAATTAGGTGGACTCCAGAGGAAGAGCCAGCTGCTTGCTCAGGGGGTGGCCGGACATGGATTGCCATCTGCCTTCCAGCTCTGGCAGCTGAGGGGTTTCAGCAGCAGAACCGTGTGGCACTGCTCCCTCCTGCTGCTGTCCTCCTGCGGACTATAGCGGTGAAACTGCTCTGTGCTAAAGAACTATCGGTTACCTGTCGGTTAACGGCAGTGTAGATGTGAAACCTCATCAGAAAGCCTGAGCTACAGTCATCCAGGTGGCCTCCTGCCTCGGCGATGCCCACGTGGAATGAGGCACAGAGTGGGGCACTGCTTCTCTGAGTTATGGACGAGCTGCTCTGGTTCTGGAGTGCAGCACAGGGAGGCCTCGCGTAGATGAGGGCTGAGGTGGTGGGAGAAGGCAGGAGGAAAGATGGTCGTGTGCTCCAGCCCTCTTGTGATGTTCTGGGCTCCTCTGCCATGCCGAGCCAAGAGATTCCCTCTGTCTGTCTCCACACGCTCGGCAGCCTGGATCCAGGTTCCCTCTGCCATGCTCAGGAGGCAAGGAAGCCTCGGACTGCCAGAAGGAACAGCGAGACAGCAGGCAGGGCTCCGCGGCAGCTCCAGGCTGCTCTGCTCGCCCGAGGGAGATCCTGCCGTCTCCTAGCTTGGGTGTTTTGGGAAGTGGTTGTGTGCTCTATCAGGAAACACGAAGAAGTTGAAGGAAAAGCCTGAGAGGGACAGGAGGGAGTTTTGGCACAGCAGCAAAGCACAAAATAGTTGCTTTTTGCCTGCTGTCATCGGGAATCTTCTGCTACAATCTGCTGTGCCGTCTGTCGGCAGTGGAACAGCTGGGGTGGCTTCATTCCCTTTTGCTTCTTGAACCGCATCTGGCCACCAAGACCTATTTCTGTCCTTTGATCATTAAGGGAAAAGTTGGTTTGGGGTACTACTGCAAAGAGCTCCAGGCCCTTGACTTAATGGTTGTGTTGTAGAGAGGATATTTAAAAATTGGTCATTTCAAGTATAAGAAGATGAGGAGCAGCTGCTGCACTGGCCATGTCCTGTCTGAACATGTGGGAGTGCTGCTATCGAGGGCCAGGGGCCTTGCTGGGAGCCATTCCCTGCGTGGAGCCATTTCTTGCATTGCCAAGCTGGTTCGGTGCTCGGGGTGATGATGTCGGGTGCTGGGGTGATGTCGGGTGCCGGCTTTTGGGCAGTTGGGCAGGAACGGAGCAGCAACCCAGCACCCTCCGCCCTAGAGCTGCTCCCGACGAAGCCACCTTTGATGCATCGGTGCAGGCAGCTGGGAGCGTTTTTCCGAAATGGTTTCTTTGAAGACTCCCTGGCAGGCTGGGGGCTCTGCTGCGGAGCCTGGAGAGAGCATGCTGAGCTGGGGGGCGGAGGGGGCTGCGGCTGTTTCGGTTGCTGACTGGTGAGGGTCTCCGCTGCCTTGGGCAGCGGCAGCGCTGCTGTAAGCTATGGGCTGCGCACGCTGCCTGGCTCTGCAGGACCGGACCCCAGGGGCACGGGAGATCCTTGGCAGCGTGGGCTCCGGGTGAAATCTGGACCAGGGGGCTATAACTGGTCAGGACAGAGTGCCACGGGGCTGGGTATTTTAAAGCCCTACCCTTGCTCACTGTAGCACTTGCAGCATCAGCTGGGATCTGTGCCCTCCTCCCACCCTGGAGCTCCGGCTTTTCCAGCACGTTTTCCCCATCAGCAGCCGGCTGAGCTGCTGGGACCAACTGGGGTAAGCAGGACCCAGCCCCTCGGTGTTTTGCTTGACCCTGGACTAGTTACACCAGCAGGCAGAGCCTGTTTTGTTTTCAGCACAACTGTTTATTGATAATCTTTGCTTATCCACTGTATGAATGTTACCAAACTGTAAGACAGTTACCAAGCCAGCCTGCTTCCTCAGGGTCTGGTTCCAGGTAGTCAATGCGTGTAGAAATCATGCACTTCAGATATTCTGTAACAAGACAGGTGTAAAAAATATCTCGGATGTATTTGAAATCTCTGCTTTATCTTGCAATCTAATTACTGAAAAAATCTGTAAAGAAATTGTAGGGGAACGGGGCTGCGTTCCCTCCCGGGCAGGGCACAGAGGCGAGCGGTCCCCAGAGCTACACCGAGGTCACCGAGCCCGGCGCAAGGACAGCGGTGAGCATCCACGCCATGCTGTGCTTCACATCTAGCGTGTTATAAACCGCACGGTAACTCTGTACCCCAAAACCCCCCCAAACAGACCCTGGATGCTGGGTGACTTCAGGGAAAAGCGTGTTGGTTGCTGGCTGGGCAGGACTCCCGGGGGGTGGAGGGCTCGTTCCTGGGGCTGCAGAATTAAACACCCCCTGCCTTGGGGAACCTTTCCGTTGCGGTCAGGTCCGTGTGAGCTGCCTCTCTGTACGCTTGCCCTGGCTTGAGGAAAGGAGAAGATCGAGCAGAAGGAAGCGTTGCCCTCCTTTCATCCCTGCCCCTTGTCTACGGACAAACAAAAGCCCTGCTCTGCATTCCCAAACAGTGTCCCTGCCCCTGCAGGGGCTTCCCAGCTTGAGCTGTGAAAACCAAAGGTTGCAGATAAAGCAAGGAGGGGATTTAGGCAATTGCTAACACCCTTGGTCAGATTAAAGACCAGGGCTCGATGCATCCTGTCCCCTTGACAGGGTGTACGTCGGGGTGCTCCTGGGCTTGCTGGGGCTGGGGGCACCTGCAGCTGCGAGGGCAGCCGGGGCACCAGCATTGTGCTCTTCTCCCTGCCCCTGGGGCAAAAAAAAAAAAGAAGGTTTCTCAAGGCGGGAGGGCTGGGGAGCAACGTGCCAGGGCCCTGCTGGCATGCGAGGGAGGCAGCAGGAGCCCCTGGGATCGTGGTGCCAGAGCTCTCTGTGGGCAGAGCACTGCCCTGCCTGCCCCAGCCCGAGCAGCCCCTGCCCCGGGGGGATGGGGGATGCCTTGTGCCCGCTGCAGCCCCCGGCATCCATCCATCCATCCATCCATCCGGGGACTGCAACCGGGACAGGGGCAGGCTGAGCGCAGCGCTGGGCTGGTTTGCTGTTTTGGGAGGTGTGCGTGTTGTTCGTTTGATGACCACGAGAAGTTTTACATTATTACATCCAAACAAACACCCTTGGTTTTGTTACTCTACTTCTGAACACCGCAAAACACAGTAGCAACATAACACGG